GAGAGACTTACAGAGAAATTTCAAAACCATGAGATCTAATTCATGAGGACTATTTCTCAAGAACAGTCATAATCAATTATTTAGTATTTGAAACAAATATGATAGATTAGCATATTGTTAGAATGTTAAATCACCTACGATTGAAGGAAAGAAGTACACACACAATCCTTTCTATTTAGTCAACTGTGGTTAGATTTTTTCCCATCGCCATAAATCACTGCGTTGAAAACTAATGACTAGCGCGGATTCAAATTAAAAGTCCCCCATACCTCACTAATACTTGCGATTTGTTTCTTGCAATGAACTACGCAAGGTAATTCACTCTTTCTCAGCATGCACTAATTCGCGTTGATTCAAACACATGCTCGATATGGTCGCCATCGTGCAACATCTAGAGCACTACTGAGAAAGATGCGAAGTACATTGTTAATACAAGGCCTTGTATGCCAAGAAATAAAATCCCTATAATAGAACATTTTAGTTTAGACATGATTTACCACAAAAGGAATGAGCATTTTTATACACTTCTTTAATTACAAGTAAGAAGAACATTTTTAAACATTTCAGCTTTTAAAGCACTTTTGCAAATTTCATCGATTTTAATATTTTAATGTACTTTGCTTCAAAAAAATATGTACAAAGTTGAAAAAATGTTTTCCCCAGAATCCTAGTAGAATATTAACTTCATTCACTAAGAAACTTGTAAATTTCAGCATTGAGAGTTTGTAATTAGGTTTTTGTATGAGATTATAGCGTCATTGTCAGTTCAGTCAATTTTAGTTTAACTGAAAAAACAGATTTCCTGCTTAACAAAACAATCCAAACCAAACGTCTAAAGCGCGTTCACTTGAATGAAGGAAATATCTGATCATTACATCGTAATAAATCAACAGTTTTGAATATGTTCATCTTAAAAATGGTATTTCATCGACCTTTACCTCACTCTTAGTTTTTAAGCATTTATTGAGCATTTTTGTGTGATGTTACGTCATTCAAAATCCGTCCCTACTTTAACTCAACCTAGGAATAAAATCTAATAATAATAATAATAATTAATAATAATAATGTTTTTTATAAAACGCGATTAATTACCTTGTAATTGTTGGTTCAGTTAACTTTCATTTCAGATTTGATATGTTCATTTCTCTCGTAAAAATTAATCAAGGAAAATTAAAATAATTAAAATACCAATAAAAGCAATGGAGAATTAAATATTCTTACTTCTCTGTCTGTAGGCAGTGTTTTGGTAAAATAACATTCTATCCACTACAGCAACATTATCAATGAATAGCAATTAAAATGGTTATGTTCTGAGTTAAAATGTTCAAATAGTATATCGTTTCACTGGATGAGGATATATTCTGAATAATAATATGTCTAGTATTGTAGGGTACTTATGCTCCAAAAGAATCCATCAGTGGCTAAATGTACTTGAAAGATCAATTTACAAATCAGTAACTATTAAGACCAACACCTTGCAACTGATTAAATACCAGTATTAACTTGACACTGGCACCCTCGCATTTTCACATCGCAATTCTCGATGGTGAGTCTTCATTATTACTGTCTAATGCAACTTACTGAAGTACAAGCTCCTTTCCCACAGGACATCACATACGTGCGAGATGCTCTGAGACTTTTCACTTCTGCATTCCCACAACTACCCAAATGGCAGATTATGTTAGAAGGGTAGCAGCAGTAATTTTATTACAATCAAAACCATATTTTAATGCATGTCGATATTGCAAGGTTAAGAAGAAAACACACCTTACCTTGTACAACATTAATTTACTCCTTCATGAAAATTGCAAATTGTCACAAATTGGGTTTGCTCTCCGTTTATAACCACATACGAGTAAAAGAACCATTACAGTTATTCAAACCAATCTTTAAATGGGATTGTTTCACCATTGTTATTCTCATGAATTTTCCCATTCATAGAATTCTTCTCTAAACTTATCCAGGAGACGATCAAAAATTACGGATCATCTTGCTGATATTCACAAGCGAATCCAGAGTCCCAATGTTGACAAAGCAGCTTTAGATTGCTAACAGAACTTAAATTAAATTACCCAAAATACAAAATAAGCAGGTGATTCACAAAATGTTTCACCCTCGCAGTATTCATAACACAAGTATTCAATCATTATGGAAAATCTAATTTTCCAATAAAAAAGAACAGATAACCTCCTCAAACAAACTTGGAAGTGCTGAGACCAATTCTAGTTAGTTTAAAGATAATTTAAATATGAACCGTTGCTAGTCCACTAAGTTTTGACACAAACCTCAGGTTCTTATGCTACAGCAATAACTTCCTCTTCGTACGTCTCAGACATCTAAGAAAACTGAAGTATGACGACAAATGATTACGAGAAAGGGGACTTCCTTTCCTGGCTATTCAAGATCATCAATAACACATCTCATTCCCAAAATAATTTGCAGGATGCATTCATTCCAACATAGTGGTCCCACGAGATTAGCCAAATCTTAAGAAAACAGACAAATTTCAATTATGTTCACTTCAAATACTTGAGTAATAGATACTTATTTAATTCTTGTTTACATATAAAAACAGTCTTAGAAAGAAAGATAAGAAAAATGAATGTTTAGTGGATGCGGGACTCACTTCCTGTCAACAAAAATATTTCAGAGGCCAGGAGTACATTAAACCCTTTTTTGCCTCCCCAATGTGAACAGGTGAGCAAAACGACGACGTGGGAATTACAGACAAATGTTAGGAAACCAGTTACAGAAATGTGAATCTTCCACAGTTGGAATATGAGGACAGTGCACCATGTTATTTTTTTAACAATATCTCTCATGAGGAATACAAAACACAAAACAAGAACATGGTATTGTGATAATAATTGCAAATCAAGACAGCAAAAGATGATTGGCTATTAATAATGTCTGCTAACTATTATACAGAACACACAATTATTGAGAATACTCTCTCACTTCCTACATACAGTCCCAACTTATGCAAGTTGAGGTTTGCTTTGAATAGAAAACAGAATAGCTAGAAACTTGACATTTCAGTCAAAATCTGTTGCTATCAAGATTAGAATGTATAGACACTTCTAATAAAAGCGTTAGGTGGCAAGAAATGCAAGTTCACAAAAAGAGAAAATAAACTTCAAAAATCTACCCTACTTAGTGAGTTAATTAAGCGAAAAAGATGATTCTTGAAGCGCTTCAACCAATTTTCATAAAAATCATATACATTCAACTTTCTTTCACATCATCTTGTTCTTGCTAGACAACTTGACCTCAACCTGTAAAAAGACAAAGTAAATGAATTTCTTCGATTTAAACAATTTTTAAGTATCCACAAGAGAAAAAACATCAAATCTATTTTCACTTCATTGAACCGTAATTAATTTAACACAAATAGATCAGCTCTTACAGCATAGCCATCTAAACATGACATCTTGTTTAAACTCTTATAGGATACTAATTAAATTTCTGAAGTTGAAAGTTCTGTGCAATGTATGTTGTAGCAATAACGTGAATGTTGTTCACTGATACAAAAATATATGGTAATAAATGTAGACAAAAAAGCAAAGTACTCCGTAATAGTTTTGACAAAATTTAAATATTTAGAATATATCTCATTATATATGCATATTTTGGTACAATTAATATATAAGATATAATATATATATATATATATAATAGTATTATATATTACATATAATATATATATATATATACTATATATACACGACACATCCAATGTGTTATGTTACGCTAAAATGTGCAAAGTATGTGAGGTTCAAAATAGTTTTAATCCACAACAATTTTTAAATACTGTTATTGATAGACAAATTGACCTTGTCACACTTTGAAAACATTTTTTTCATTGACAAAGTAAATTACTATAATAAAATCACTTCACCTTACCTATCTCCCTGAAATTATATTTTTAACAAAAAAATTATTACTATAAAACAAATTACATTGCAATTAACCACAAATAAGAACATAAAAAATCATTTTAAAACCAACATTTGAAAATATGTTGTCCCAGCAATTAGCTGAATTTCTGGAGAGAATTCTTTTTCATGAAATATTTCGTTAATGTTCATTTACGTTACATCATCCTCAAGAAACAACTATCCATAGCAATAATAAGAATTACAATACAATGAAAAAGAAACAAATTATGACTATTATGAATAAAAACCAGAACTAGAAATACAACGCAGCCAAAAGACAAATAATAAATAGTGTTATTAGAATAAATCAGTTACAAAATAAATAAGAAAAATACACCAAAGATAATAATTGAAAGACCAAAATTAAATCACCGACCAACTAATTATAGTGAATACAGTGAAACAAAAATTTTCATGAAACGACAATATCTTCGCAACTACTACAGAAATGAATTAGCCTGGCTTCATAGTCTGCTAATGGTCGAGGTAGAAATGTTTCATTCACACGAGGGAATAAATTATCTTACCTTGCCTTGTCTCTTGATACTTCCATAGAAAATTTTCTCTTATTGATTCCCAAAAGTTATCCTGAACGAATTATACTATTCAGCTTTTCTAATTGATTTTTCTATTGACGCTACGAGAGTCAATGCTGGGACTGGAATGGATCATATCTACAATTTACACAATTAATAAGTTTAACGTGCTATTAATAAACTTGCTTTCTCAACAACACCGCGGCGCCAATAATCTGTACACGTACTAAAATACACACTCCCTGAATTCAGTCCGAGACCACCAACCTACAACAACGCGACTATCTTTCTCTGTCCCACATCATCGCAACGCACGAGACACGAGATTGCCGCCAGATTTTTAAGCGCAAAAATACAATGCACTCTCTTTGCTGCGCTGTGCAAAGCTAATACCTAACCGACTTAACAATTCATTAAAAATGTTCGATATAATTTCAAATACATCACATAAATTACACATAATGCTGTTTTTAAAATATTGACATATTTAATATGTGATAATATTTAATAAGTAATAGATTGACTACATCACGATCAACATGATTCAGAACTAATAGAACCGAATCTACGCAAAAAAAAGAAAACAGTGGGAACACCAAGAAAGTGCATCATTGTCACAGTTCAAAGTCTCCTCAATTGGCCGAGGCCAATTCTTACTTTCAAAATTAAAACGTGATTTCATCAAGTAGCTAAACTGTAATGTATAATTATTTTTTTCGCATTCTTATTCAATAGCTGCCTCCGTTCACGATTCAGAAATATCTTACCCTGTGCTAATTTCCGATCGACAGCCACCGCGGAGATTACGACAACGAAATCCCAAGAGATACAACACTCCGGGACCACATGTATGAAATGTTTTCTTACCAAGCAATCTAAAATAAACGTGATCTCTAGTCTGCCTTGATCTTAACAACCGTCGGAAACAAAAGAATCTTATTCGTACCCGTCGTGTTCGTCATGGTACTGGTTTTGTAAACAAATATCTTACCGCATTTTCAGAAACTCTCATAACGCATATTTTTCTCAATATATGGCTAAAAAATTATTCTTCAAACTTTACTAACAGATACCGCTATTTGTTACTGTTTGATATTAAACAACCCAATAGTTTTATCTTTTTAGGCAATACATGCATGGGATAGCCAATAGTAAATACAACAAAACATATTAACTTATGGCTATTCATTGACTTTTGTCACTTATGTATGAAACATTTTAACAATAAGTAGCGCACAACAGCGCAATTACGTACTCTCGCATTATTCTTAACTGCCATCGGCTGTTATATTACTATTTACCCGCAAGTTTTCTTGAGCTTCCGGGAGTACCTTCCCCCAATTCCATTATAAGTGAAGTAGTGAAAATTCGATGCTGTTGCACTCTCGTGTAACAAACATTTTTTGATTCGACAAAACATTCACGGAGTTGAATAATAGTCCTGTCGTCAAAATAACCGATCCTCCCACTTCTGGTTCAAATCTAGCGAAATAAAGGCTCAAGAAAAACGTGACGTGGATAATACAATACACATGCAAAAGATTTTCATCCAGAAAAAATTAATTTCCGTACCGAGCCTCTAAAATCATGTCCTCCTAGTTATCTCGCCGTCAGCCCCTAACCACTGCGTACAGAAAAACGTTTGACGTTGGCGGGCAGTTTAAACATGTTAATTTGCTTTCAAACCCAATATTTTCAATACTCAATTTAGCAATTTAAGAAAAATCGCATTTTAGCGTTCTTGCCTGCCCATAGCGAAGCGTGCAACCAGCGCACCTTGGCCACTCCAGCACGGAGGGGTTAACGGGTGGGGTTCCATTTAAGGTTTTCAATGTTGGGCTCCGGGTCTCACCCTCCAAGGGCGGTTTGATTGTAGGTCTGATCAAATGTTCCTCTTGGAGATATTAATTTTTTGCCTTAAAACATCTTTTTTTTAACATATTTTTTCGATTTATTTGATTTGTCACGTTAAATGAGTCGTTGTAATTTATATACATTTATATGAATAAGATGGACAGACAGACAGATAGATAGACTTAGATAGATAGATAAGGCTTACACAGATAACAACTGCCAAAACTGTAATAGATTGACTATTATAATTAGATTATATAGATAGATAGAACTAGCCATCTGTTAACACTAGGCGCTCCAAGAAGTGAGATGACCTACCAATCATGTGAAATGGCCGATAGCTCTAAGGTGACCGCGATTCCGTGTAAGTAAATAGTCGAGAGGAGACCAAGGGACTCGACTCTGGCCAGCGCTGAACGCTCATTTAATGAAAATGCCGGAGGAATGCCACCATAAAACCCTCAGTCAAATCTCTCTTTTGGAGCGGATTCAAATTAAAGTCCCCCACCTCACTTAATACTTGCGATTTTGTTTCTTGGCAATGGAACATCGCAAGGTAATTCACATCTTTCTCAGCCATGCCACTAGATGTTGCGTGATCAACACTGCTCGATATGGTCGCCATCGTGCAACATCTAGAGGCACGTCTGAGAAAGATGCGAAGTACATTGTGAAGACAAGGCCTTGCATGCCAAGAAATAAAATCCCTAGTATAGAACAATTTTAGTTTAGACATTGATTTACCACAAAAGGAAATGAGCCATTTTTATACACTTTTCGTTAATTATAAGTAAGAAGAAATTTTTTAACATTTTCAGTCATTTTTAAAGCACTTTTGCAGATTTCATCGATTTTAATATTTTAATGGTACTTGCTTCAAAAAATATTTACAAGTTGCAAAAAATGTTTTCCCCAGAATCCCTGAGTAGCATATTTGACTTCTTCACTAAGAACTTGTAATTTCAGCCATTGAGAGTTTGTAATTAAGGTTTTTGTGATGAGAATTAGCGTCATTGTCAGTTCAGTCAATTTTAGTTTAACTTAAAAAACAGATTTCCTGATAAAGAACAATCCAAACCAAACGTCTCAAAGCGCGTTCACTTGAATGAAAGGAAGATATCTTGATTACATCAGTAATAAAATCCAACAGTTTGAATTGTTCATCTGAAATGATATTCATCGAACCTTTTACCTCACTCTTAGCTTTTAAGGCATTTTATTGATCATTTTTGGTGATGTTTACGTCATCAAAATCCGCTCCCTACTAATAACTCACCTATGGAATAAAATAATAATAATAATAATAATAATAATAATAATAATGTTTTTTATAAAACGATTGTAATTACCTTGTTAATTGTTGGTTCAGTAACTTCATTTTCAGCATTTATGTCATTTTCTCTGTAAAATTAATCAAGGAAAATTAAAATAATAAATACCAATAAAGCAATGGGAGATTAAATTTCTTACTTCTCTTGGTCTGTAGGCAGTGGTTTTGGTAAAATAACATTGCTATCCACTACATTGCCAACATTTAATTCCAATGGAATAGCAATTAAATTGGTTATTTTCTGAGTTAAATGTTCCAAATAGGTATATCGTTTCACTTGGATGAGGAGATATCTGAAATAATAATTGTCTGTATTGTAGGGTACTTTTTATGTCCAAAAGAATCCATCAGTGGCTAAATGTACTTGGAAAGATCATTACAATCAGTAACTATTAAGACACAAACCTTGGCAACTGAGTAAATACAGTATTAACTTGACACTGGGCACCCTCGCATTTTTCACATCGCAATTCTCGAATGTGAGTCTTCATATACTGCTCTAATGCAGACTTAACTGAAGTACAAGCCTCCTTTTCCACAGGGACATCCACATACAGTGCGAGATGCTCTTGAGACTTTTCACTCTGCATTCCACAACTACCCAAAATGCAATTATGTTAGAAGGGCTAGCAGCAGAATTTCTATTACTAAATCCAAAAACCATATTTTAATGCATGTCGATATTGCAAGGTTAAGAAGAAAAACACACCTTACCTTGTACAACAATAATTCTCCTTCATTGAAAATTGCAAATTGTCACAAATTGGGTTTGCTCTCCGTTTATTACCACATGACTGAGTAAAAGAACCATTACAGTTATTCAAACTCAATTCCTTTAATGGGATTGTTTCACCATTGTTATTCTCAGATTTTCCCATTTCATAGAAGTCTTCTCTAAACTTATCCAGGAGACGAATCAAAAATTCTGGAGCATCTTGCTGATATTCACAAGCGAATCCAGAGTCCAATGTTGACAAAGCAGCTCTTAGATTGCTACAGAAATTAAATTAAAATTACCCCAAAATAAAAAAAGCAGGTGATTCACAAAATGTTTTCAAGCCCTCTGCAGTATTCATACACAAGTATTCAATCATTAGGAAAAATCTAATTTTCCAATTAAAAAAGGAACAGATAACCTTCCTCAACAAACTTGGAAGTGCTGAGACAATTCTAGTTAGTTAAAGATAAATTTAAATATGTACGCGGTGCTAGTCACTAAGTTGAACAAACCTCAGGTTCTTATGTACAGGCAATAACCTTCCTCTTCGGTACTGTCTCAGGACATCTAAGAAAGACTGAAGTATGGACGACAAATGATTACGAGAAAGGGGACTTCCATTTCCTGGATATTCAAGATCATCAATAACACATCTCATTCCCAAAATAATTTGCAGGGATGCATTCATCCAACATATGTTGGTCCCAGGAGGATTAGGAAATCTGAAGAAAAACAGACAAATTTCAATTATGTTCACCTTCAAATACTTGAAGTAATAAGATACTTATTTAACTTCTTGTTTACATATAAATAACAGTCTATAGAAAGGAAGATAAGAAAAATTGAATTGTTTAGTGGATGGGACTCACTCCTGTCAACAAAATATTTCTAGAGGGCCAGAGAGTACATTAAACCCTTTTTTGCCTCAATGTGAACAAGGTGACAAAACGACTGAAGTGGGGAAGTACAGACAATGTTAAGGAAACCAGTTACAGAAATGTGAATCTCCACAGTTGGAATATGAAGGACGAGTTTCACCTATGTTATTTTTTTTAACAATATCTCTCATGAGGAAACAAAACACAAAACAAGAAATGGTATTGTGATAATAATGCAAATCAAAGACAGCAAAAGATGATTGGCTATTAATAAATGTCTGCTAACTATTATACAGAACACACAATTATTGGAGGAATTACTCTTCACTTCCTCACATACAGTCCAAGTTCCTTGATGCAAAGGTTTGCAGGTATGCATTTGAATAGAAAACAGAATAGCTAGAAATGACATTCAGTCAAAAGATCGTGTTTGCTATCAAGATTAGGAATGTAATGACCACTTCAATAAAAGGTTGGTGGCAAGAAATTGCAAGTTCACAAAAAGAGAAAATAACTTCAAAAATCTACCCTATTTCGTGAGGTTTAATTAAGCGAGAAAAGACTGATTCTTGAAGCGCTTCACCATTTTCATCAAAATCATATACATCAACTTTCTTCACATCATCTTGTTCTTTGGCTAGACAATCTTGACTCAACCTGTAAAAAGACAAAGTAAATTGAAATTTCTTGATTTAACAAATTTTTAAGTATCCACAAGGAGGAAAAACATCAATCTATTTTCACTTCATTGACACGTTAATAACTACACAAAATAGTGTATCAGCTCTTACAGTAGCCCATCTAACATGACATCTTGTTAAACTCGTTATTAGGATACTAATTAAATTTCTGAAGTGAAAGTGTTGTAGCAATGTATGTGTAGCAATAACGTGAATGTTGTTCACTGATACAAAAATATATGGTAAAATAATGTAAGACAAAAGCAAAGTGACTCGTAATAGTTTTTGACAAATAAATATTAGAATATATCCATTATTATATGCACATTTTGGTACAATGTAATATATATATATATATATATATATATATATATATATATACACACACACACACACACACACACACAATGTGTTATGTTACGCTAATAATGTGCTAAGTTATTGTGAGGTTCAAAATAATGTTTAATCTACAACAATTTTAAAATACTGTATTGCTAGACCAAATTGACTTGTCACACATTGAAACATTTTTCATTGACAAAGTAAATATTACTATAATAAACTCACTTCCTTACCATCTCCCTGAAGTATATTTGTTTAACAAAAAATTAATACTATAAACAAATTCATAGCAATTGCCACAATAAGAACATAAAAAATCATTTTAAAAAACCAACCATTTGAAAATAAGTGTCACAGCAATTAGCTGAATTTCTTGAAGAGAATTCCTTTTTCATGAAATATTTTGTATGTTCATACGTTACATCATCCTCAAGAAACAACTATCCACTAGCAATAAAAAGAATTACAATAACAATGAAAGAAAAAAGTATGAACTATTATGATAAAAAACAAGAACTAGAAATTGACAACGCAGCCAAAATGACAAATAATAAATAGGTTATTAGAATAATCAGTTACAAAATACATAAGAAAAATACACCAATAGAATAATAATGAAAGACCCAAAATTAAATCACCGGACAAACTAATTATAGTGAATACAGTGAAACAAAAATATTTCCATGAAACGAAATATTCGCAAACTACTACAGAAATGAATTGGCCGGGTTCACTAGCGTGCTAATGGTCCGAGTAGAAATGGTTCATTCACACCGAGTGAATTAAATATCTTACCTTGGCCTTGTTCTCTTGATACTTCCATAGAAATTTCTCTTATTGATTCCCAAAGTACCTGAACGAATTATACTATCAGCTTTTTCTATTGATTTTTCTATTTGACGCTTACGAGGAGTCAATGCCTGGGGACTGAATGGAGCCATATTTACATTTACACAATAATGAAAGTTTTAAACGTGCTAATTAATAAAACTTCGCTTTCTCCAAACACCGCGCGCCAATAATCTGTACACGTACTAAATAAACACTCCCTGAATCGGTCGAGCCACAACGCTACAACAACGCGACTATCTTCTCGTCCCACATCATCGCACGCACGAGCACGAGATTGCCGCCAGATCTTTAGCGCCAAAATACAATGCACTCTCTTTGCTGCGCTGTGCCAATAGCTAATACCTAACACGACTAACCAATTTCATTAAAAATGTCTCGATATAATTTCAAATAAATCACATAAATTACACAATAATGTGTTTTTTAATTATTGACGTATTATATTTGAAATATATTTAATAATTAATAGTTGACTACATTCACGATCCAACATGATTCAGAACAATAGAACCGAATCTACGGCAAAAAAAAGAAAACAGTGGGACACCAAGGAAAGTGCATCATTGTCACAGTTTTCAAAGTTCTCTCAATGGGAGGCCAATTCTACTTTTCAAAATAAAAACGTGATTCTCATCAAGTAGTAAAACTTGGAATGTATAATTATTTTTTTCGCATCTTATCCCATAGCTTGCCTCCGTTTCACGATTTCAGAAATATCTTACACAGTGCTAATTTCACGAATCGACAGCCGACGCCGGGAGATACGAGAACGAAACCCAAGAGAGATACGAAACTCGCGGGGACCACAGTGTATGAAATGTATCTTACCAAGGCAATCTAAAATAAACTGCATCTCTAGTCTGCCTTGATCTTACACCGTGCGGAAAAAAAAAGAATTCGTATTCGTTACACCGTGGTGTTCGTCATGGTACGGTGTAAAAAATATCTTACCGCATTTTCAGAAACTCTCAAACGCTATTTTCTCAATAATGGCTAAAAAATTATTCTTCAAACTTTTCTAACAGATAGCGCTATTTGTACTGTTTGATATAATACCACCAATAGTTTTATCTTTTGTAGGCAATACTATTGCATGGGATAGCAATATGTAAATATACAAAATATTTACTTATGGCTATTCCATGACTTTTGTCACCTTAGTGTATGAACATTTTAACAATAAGTAGTGCGACAACAGCGCATACGTTCTCGCATTATTTCTAACTGCATCGCTGTATTATATTACTATTTTACCCGCAAGTTTTCTTGAGCTCCGGAGTACCTTCCCCCAATCCTTTACTAAGTGAAGTGGAAATTCGCAGATGTTCACTCTCGTGTAACAAACATTATTTTGATTCGACAAACGATTCACGGATTGATATAATAGTCCTGTCGTCAAAATAACCATCCCTCCCACTCCTGTCAAATCTAGCGAAATAAGGGCTCAAGAAAACGTGAGTGGATAATACATACACATGCAAAGTATTTTCATCCAGAAAAAATTAATTTCCGTACCGAGCCTCAAAATCATGTCCTCCAAGTTATCTCGCCGTCAGCCCTACCACTGCGGTACAGAAAAACGGTTTGACGTTGGGCAACGTTTAAACATGTAATTGCTTCAACCCAATATTTTCAATACTCAATTTAAGCAATTTTAGAAAATCGCATTTTAGCGTCTGCTGCCCATAGCGAGAGCGTGCAACCAGCGCCCTTTGCCACTCCAGCACGGGAGGGGGTTAACGGTGGGGGTTCCCATTTTAAGGTTTCAATGTTGGCTCCTGTCTCACCCTCAAGGGGCGAGTTTGATTGTAGGTCTGACAAATGTTCCTCTTGGAGATATTAATTTTTTGCCTTAACATCTTTTTTGTTACATATTTTTTCGAGTTATTTGATTTGTCACGTTAAATGAGTCGTCTGTACATTTTATATACATTTTATATGAGAGATGGACAGACAGACAGATAGATAGATAGATAGATAGATAGCTACACAGATAGAACTGCCAAACTGTAGATAGATTGATAGATAGATAGATAGATAGATAGATAGAACTAGCCAATCTGTAGACACTAGCGCTCCAAGGGAGTGGATGACCTACCATCCATGGTGGAAATGGCCGATAGCTCTAAGGTGACCGCGATTCCGTGTGAAGGAAATAGTCGAGAAGGAGACCAAGGGACCTCGAGCCTCTTGGCCAGCCCGCTGAACGCTCAAGTTAATGAAAATGCCGGGGAGGAATGCCCAGCCATAAGAACCCTCAGTCAACAGACTGACCTTCTTAGAGCTTGGGTGACAACAATCTCGCGAAATATGGGAAAAGACTTGCGTTTCAATGGCATTCTATCGTTGCGAGCCGCGCAATATCCATAAGCCGTGAAAAAGCGGAACTAAATGAGGCCATGGCCATATTGAGAATACCTGACGAGAAGAGCAAGTGCGAATTATAGAAAGGACGGGATCAAGTTCGAGAACCTCAGTGTGCAGACCCACGGCAGACGCTTATATGGCAGAAGAAATAGAAGAACCGTGCCTAAAAAGACCAAAGTAAGCATGGCCAACAGGAAAAGAGTCCACCTCGGAGAGGACGGCCAGAGGAAGGGAACCTTCCGAATCCGCGCAGGGAAAGTAGATGAACCCAGACGCACACAGGAACAAGCGAAGTAGGAAAGATGAACATCACATCCCTCTGGAAAGCGATGCAAGGAGAAGCGCGGCAAGAAGTCAGTAAGGAAGACAAAAAAAGAAGAAGAAAAGTAAAGTAATAAATGACGCCGATTAAAGTTGCAGCTAAAGTGGGTATCGTTCATCGTTCGCACCATCTTTAAAGAGAAAGTCAGCGCAAAATGAAAAACCCAAAGAGGTGGGGGCGTGACTTTACAGATGGTGAGGAAAACAAGAAAGGCGAATAAATCTCGTCCTCAAGAGGCAAGGAAAAACCCGAAGAAATTCCACCACATCTTCAAATGAAACCCTGGAAGGAAACAGCGGAACGTAGCGGTCTAACTAAGGCATCGACAATCGTCATTAGAATGACGTAAATGGAGTTCTCCACCGGAAGATGACGTGACGGGAAGCCATCCGGAAACAGAAGCAGGAATACCGATCTGGAGATGGCCTTTTACCGTAAGGAAAGGGTACGGTGCCGGCCTACAATCGGGCAATATGTCAAATTGCCGCAGAACTTGGCCGCAGATCTTCCTCCAGAAAAAGAAAATAGCAGTAAAATATGGTGTACTGTAATATCGCTGTTGCGGAAGGAGGTGATCAGATGCACAGCGTGTCACGCAAATATGGCCATATGCCAACGGTGCAGCGGCCCCGACAGGAGAAAGCTTGTGCTGGAACTGTGGAGGTGGACCATCAAGAAAAGATTGTATACGGAGACTGCCTGCCTATGCCTGCAAGACAAGCAATGTCAAACGCAACAATCGCCCGGGCAGTAATTTTTGCCACACTCGTTTCATAATGCGCTATAACTAAGGCAAAAGAAACAATGAAGCTAAAATTCCTGCAAATATAACGCTAGGTTAAAGGCAGGCAGGCACAAGACCTACTCCTGCAAACGGTACAAGAAAAAAGATCGATATAGCCATAAATATCGGAACAATACAGGAAGCCAGTCTCAGGAACATGGTCGCAGGATCTTATCAGGCAAATCAGCTCTCTACGCCGCCACCAGATTAAAAAATTCGAAGGGTGGAAGACAAGAACAAGGGCTTTTGTATGGATCGAAGTAGGGTCCCTCGAATTTTAAATAGGCTGCTATTCTCATCCGAATGACCCCTTTCATACATTCCAAAACAGAAGGTGCACAACCTAGAAGATGACATTACCATACCGCTACTGGAGAAGTCCTATAGCCGGGGACTTCAACGCGGAAATCCTCGGAATGGGAGTCCATTGAAGAAGCGACAGAAGGAGGTCTCTTATCACAGACATGGTAGCTAGGAAGAAACCTTGTGGTGCTGAACAACGGGAGTAGCAACCTACGAGAGATTACACTCGAGATCAGTCATAAGACCCTGACTCTGTCCTCAGGAAAACTGCGGGACAAATCCACGACTGGACGGTTCTGGAAGACGTCTCTCCCAGTGCCATAATTATAATAGAGTCGCCATACAAAATAAAACGCAGTAGAAATTAAAGTACGGGAAAAGAGCTGAAACCTCTCATGGAAACGTGAAAAACTAGACCAAAAGCTCTAGAAGTGTTCCTGAAGGCAATCAAGCGCCTACACGCTGAACGGAAGGCCGCAGGAAACAATACTTGGTCTAACGATTAATAAAAATAAGGGAGCGTGCAACGATCTAATGCCCAAGGAGGTCAAATACAACCCAACTCGGAAACCCAATGTATGTGGACGACGAAAATCCTCAGAACTGAGGGAAAATGTAAAAAAAAAAATGAGACGTCAGTACCGCGCTCCAAAGGAATCGCAGACATAAAGAGAGGCGCTTCGACAATGCAGACAGGACTAAACAACGCCAATCAACAATAGCAAAAACCTCTGCTGGACGGAGCTATTAAAAGGGAATAGACAACGACGCGTGGGCCAAACGTACCAAATTGTCACAAAAAAACTAAAATTAGCAGGCGGAAATCCACCCGGATTGGGATGATCCCTACAATGGGTAATCCAAATCATAAATAACTTGTTTCCATCGCATCAAAACGCATCGATTGAACAATTGCCAGCCCTGTAAAATTACAGAAGACGGCAATGTTTTCCCCAGACAGAGCTACAGAAAGTATGCAGTACTCTAAGAACAAAAAGGCCCGCAGGACCTCGACGGGGTATTCAATAAAATTCTGAGACAGTGGCAAAGGTCCATCCCGCAACTTCCTTTTTCGGAAAGCTTATAATAGATGCTTGAAGAAAACGTTTTTCCCGAGTGTATGGAAAAGCAGAAACTTGCTCTCTTTCTTAAAAGGCAGCAAACCAGCAACACGAGCCCACATCTTTGCAGACCAATCTGTCTACTAGACAGATGGGAAAGGTATTTGAGGGCCTGATTCTGCAAAGACATAACGAACTGGCTAGGGAAAGCACACAGAGTCTGTCGAAATGCAATAATGGCTTCCGAAAATGTAGATCGACAGTCGACGCTATCAAAACAGTCGTAGAAAAGGTAAGAGAAAGCCAAAGAGGGAGCAAACAGAGAATCTGTGCCCTCCGTAACGCTCGATATCAGGAACGGCGCGTTTGCATGTCGTAGTAGTCTTAATCTGCGCAAATGGGAGGAGATTAATCAAGGCTCTGATTAGAGAGAACACCCAGAGTAGCTCACAGTATGATACCGGAGCTACGCTAAGCGACCGAAAGACCATTTACGAAAGGTGAGGAGAAACCATTGAAATTGAGATGATCTGTAGTGGTCCCACAAGGTTCAAAACTTAAATCCTGTCTTATGAATATATGTACGACCAGTCTACTGGGCATAAACCCTCCGCAAAATGTCTCTATCGTAAGGCTTCGCAGACGATGGCAATAATAGTGCAACGGGGAAACAACGGCCTACTAAAGAGGTCACGTAAACGACCCTGAGAAGAGTGATGAAATGGCTGGCGTCAAAGGGCTGGCAAGTTGCAGCCCAATAAAACGTGAAGCATTGCTTATGACGAAAGACGATCGTACTCCAACCCAACATTCCGAATAGGCAAGGAAAAAATACAATGTGGCCAAAGAGACTTCGCTTACCTAGGAATGGAAATTGAACAGGAACTAAGTTTTGGACCAACAATTAGCGAGACAACGGAAAAAGCCCTAAAAATAAGCAGCAACCTTTCAGATTGGTGGCCGAACACCAAAGGGGTACAGCGCAAGACGAGACGAATTTAATGAGTGTGATGGCACTCGAAAAATGCTGCTATGGCCAGCACACCGATCTGGGCAGAAGCTATTCTAAAACAATAATCTGAGAAGGGAAAATGCAGTCTGGTCCCATGAGAAAGGAGCTCTACGCAAACATCGGCCTATATACTGTATCCGTAATGCTGTTCTTGCTGCTGGCGACGTCCCTCCCAATTGACCTGCTTGCTCCAGAAGGAAAGATTTTACAACTACTCCCATGAGCAAGATGGCAACGGAGGCGAAATGCAAAACAAGATAGGATAGCGCAATTAAAAAAGCGAAAGAAAACGTGATGCACCGCTGGCAGAACGGTTGGGACAGAGAGATCGGCAGAATGGATTCTAGGCCTCATCTCCCCGAATATATCCAAATGGATTACACCGATCACGGGTCCGTGACATACCGCTTAAACTCAGCATTCACCAGGGCATGGATGTTTTTAAGGCTACAAATTAAAAGATTCAGCAATGACCAGAAGACGCGGTAATGCTTCTACTGCAGCAGAAGTGGACGCGACGCGAGCATACGCTGTCCATGCCACGATATGGACACGCTTAAGGCATCGCATGATATGGGAGGTCGGGTGTAATGTCTCACCAGAAAACATGGTCACACTTATGAATCTGTAAACCACGGCGAAGTGGGACAGCAAATAGAGACATATAATCACGCACCATCTCAAGAAGAAAGGAAGAAGAGAAAGAACGCAGTCATATTGAACTGAATAACACCTCGAAGTAATACAGCTGGCAGCCATCCTGAAAGTAAATGCCATACTGCGGTTAAGGTGGATAACGCCAGGAACACAAAGGGTTTTGTGGTTTTAGTGAGAATAAATAAAATCTCACACTGTGTGGAGTGCGGGCTCGCTTCGTCTTTTGAAGATTCCACAGTTCCCTCGTTAAAAAAAAGATAGATAGATAGATAGAGAGATAGATAGATGATAGATAAGATAGACTATTATAAAGAATAATTAGTACAGGGAAAATTATGTATGCTGCTTCATAGACCTTAAGTCGTCAATAGAGAGAGTATAGTTACCATGAAATAAGGCCAAAGTTCGAAAAGAATTTTGTAGAGGTTTTATTTTTTTTTATTTTTTTGTTAAAAGCATATATACATAATGCATATGCTAACGCAAATTAGATAGCCACTAGTGAGAAATATAAGAATCAATAAAGATGTAAAACAAGGCAACTTCCACTATTATTACTTTCCTGTATATGTACGTATATACGTAGTATATTGAATGTTATGTAATGCTGAGTGTTGGTAATGGACCGCAAAATTAATTCAAATTGGGCGCCATGCTTCGAAGGAAATATCATACATTTCATACTTCCCGCCGCGGAGATCCTAATTGACCAAATACTCATTTTTCAAAGTTCTTTGATATCGATTGTCAGTTGCTTTCAACTAGTTCGGAAAGTCACCTATAGATCGCACCACCTTCTGAAATGCCGCGACGAAAGATTTACTCACTAACAGATTTCCCGGAATCCAATTTCTTCCATATCACACCCGCCGAGCTCACATTGTTTGAAAATCAGAGGAGCCGCGAGCAGTTTCGTAAAGTCAGCTGGGAATTGCCTGGCACGCCCCGAATCGAACCTTGAATGCGTCCAACACGCTTTACTGAGATTTCTGCACGTTGGCAAACTGTTCTGCACGTCGCCTCTGATGACAATGCGAGCTCGTGGCGTCTAAAATGGAAATAGCTGGATTCCAAGTACTTCGATAATGTCCACATGTTTTCGCACGAGGTGCTGCCCGGGAGCTGATGCGATCTTTCGGTGACGCTCCAAACTAACAGGAAGCAGTTGGCAATCTACGTCAAGGTAATTTGTATGAAAGAAGTGAGTATTTGGTCAACTGGAAAGAAATTTTCCCGTTTTTTTAAAAATTAAATTAGGCTCGAAGTTTTTAATTTTAATCTTGAAGGCGCGAAGTTTGATATGCATAATCTTTCCCTCTGAAATGCCTTCAAAGAGCAGCAAAACTGCATTGTTCAAAACGTGGCGCCACATTTGAATCAATTTGGCGGTCAATGCTAACATACCTCAAGGGGCAAATCATCAAATTATTCTTCCTCGCGAACCTGTTTTTACAAGAGCACTCGTTAACTGCGATTCACGTAACTTACTTGCATGGAGGATGTCAATTGACAGTGTCCATTGCTAGACAAAGATTTCGCATCCCATTATTCGAAGAATAGTAAATAGTGTAATTCACTATTGCTTGCCTTGCATTTGATGGCGGGCAAAGCCAGCCTCACAAATAATGGGTGGTCTTCCTGCAGTAAAGATGAAACGTTTTAGCGGGCTTTCTGCTTTACTGCTCTATGGAGCATCTATATTTTTTAATTTATTAATGAATTATGAAGAGACTAATTATGTTTTTTGTTGTAAGTCTTAATTTAAAAGAAAATAAAAAATTTAAGAATGATCTTAAAATATCTTGGAGACATGGCAAAAAATAATTGTATGTATTCAAAACAAGATATAGTGTTCCATAAAGAACGCATTCGAACAACTTTCATAAAACTACAATAATACAAACTGAAAAACAGTTCCATTTATGGCAAAAATGGCGCTTTTAAGAAGAATTGATATGAAAATTTGAACCCATCGTTGCATGCGTGCTTTGTTGTCAGCGCTCATCGACTGAGCTGTCGCTAGTGATTGCGAAAAAGTAAAATTACTCAAATGTATTTTTTTTTAATGTCTTTCACGCCGTTAATATGCAATTTTTAGTAATTTGCAAACTCTTGTATTTCTGAGGTAAGGTGCATCAAATACTTTTAAATTAATTTTTTCGAAAACTCAGAAGAGTTCTATGAAAAAGATCTTCAATATTCGCATTTACAGTGATATCTAAACGACATTTTCTTTTAAACGGTTTCCTTTTTTATAAAGAAAAGTTCGAAACTGAAACAGTTTATGTGGTTGATGTTTCATTTTTATTGTCAACTCGCGTTAAAAAACTGTTTCAGTTTCAGCTGTTTCTGAATAAAAATAAAAAGAAATAATAAATGATACTATAATAAAAATATTGGATGATATAAAAGTTAAATATTTCGTACTTCTAGCTTGTCCTTTCACATTTTGTGCATTCGAATTTCGAATAAATGTTTAAATTTGAGGCAAATGTTTCCACCTATTAGTGCCAACACTATTAAATAAAATAACTAACTTTAAGCATATTGTAATAATTTTACGATTATTGTAATGTTATTTACAATCTTCTTTTTTACGCAAAAAACAGTTGTATCTGAAACTCACCTGCTTGTTATCAGAGATCATTGTGCAAAAATTATATTTGTTGGAAATTTTCAAGACTTTATTCTGTTGGTAATACTGTTCGGACAATACATTGGTCATATAATCACAGATTTGTCTTCTAAAAATACTATATAATACTTATGTCTATGATTATGATACTTATGTCCCTGATGGGCAATAACTGGCTACTCATCGTGCTTTGGTGAATGGCATGAATACGTTTTGTAGTCAGAAATTTCATTACCTCCCTGATTTGCATTTTGAAGGGTAGGGTAATGGTTCACTTCACATGTGGCTGAAAATAAAACTGATAATATTCTGTTTTCTGGAAATTGTTTTATAAGCTATAATACTTACGTTTAAGGACACTCGCTAAAAAGCAAATTACTCTTATTATTATTCAGGTAAACCTGGATAGTACTGAATCTCACAACATAAAGATTTAGACTAAAAAAACGAACAAAAAAGATAAAGAACACACGATTTGCAGAAGTCGACAGAGTGCAGCAGGCAAAGGCGCACCAGAACCTGGTTAATTCGAACAATTTGACAGCTATATGTAAACTCTTACGACTTCCATCACTATTATTTTGTGTGTATTCTGAGAAGTGTCCTCGCGTATTTGATGGCTTGAAGCTTCGAACGCTTTCGATCGTAATGTGTTGTGTAATGTGGTAGTATTTTACGTTTAGAATATATTTTATTTGAATTTGTTGAGTGTCCAGTATCCTCACATAAAAGAAAAATATTTGTGCCGCAAGTAGTTGTATTGCCATGGAGAGAAGATACTATGGTCTTCTCGGACTCTTTTTGACATTTCTTATTCGACAAGCTGAATCAGATTTGTTTTATGATCTGTTCAGTAAAGACCCGTGTGAATCGTTTTGTGACAAAACATATCCCTCAAATACACTAGATAATGTAAGTATTCTTGATGGACTGGTTCTGCCAAGTCTGTTTTAAAAATTAATAATTGTAAATTAATATTTTTGCAGGTGGAGCATTCTTCATGTTGTTGTCGAGGATGCAGATTCTTCAACTTAGTGCATCTAGTAGAGGACAGAGATAATGTGGATCTGAATGTTACTAAGGATGCCTGTCAAGCATGTAAGTAATTTATTTCTCTCTACTTGTCATTCAATGAAAGACTGCTTAATTCATATAATATTCTTTAATAGCTTGCATGGAAGCATATGTTCATACAAAGGACAGATATGCTTGCAATATTGGGTGTTCACAAATGGCCAAGCAAAAACAGGTAAGGCTGTAGAAAGACCAAAATAAGCATTTTCATATTTTGTAAAGTAATTTATATTTCTCGAATCTAAATGGTAATAAAATTTCCGTACATATGTGCAGGCAGAGCTTCACGTAACATCCATCTCCTGGTCAATGTATGTTGAAGATGGCAACAGTGTTTTTATGTTACAGCCTGGTAAGTAAACAGGACAAAATTTGGGTATGGTGTTAAAAATTTTGAAAAATAATTTTGTCTCTCTTGTTAAAAATGTAATCCAGTTGAAAATTGCCAAAATTTGATGGTGACTGAGGAGAAATCTACAGAAGTGATTGTTTTGTGAACCCAAGAATTTTAAATATTTTTCTTGCTGTTCAACACCTATTGGTTTTTGTCAGAAACATAATTGACTGGAATTTCAGGGTAAATTAAAGTACTTTTGGTTTTAATATATTTTTAATAACTTAATCTAAACATTGTTCTGTGCATTTTAACTGTTTTTGAAGGTATGACTCAGAACTTTTTCTTGTGTAAAATACACATGGAACAAATGAACTGTTAAAGCAATTCACAAGTTTGCCCAGTCATGGACTTTGTAAACATAATTAAAACCTCGCAAAAACAGACTTGCCTGCCCAAACTATGATTGAGTGCAACTTGCAGAACAAAATAATGAATTCAGCTGATACTATTAATTTTATTATAATTGAGTTGTTATAATACCAAACTTGTGAAAAAAGGCTGTTATAAATTTGAGGCAGTCTTATTTAAAGCAGAAATTTTGAAATTCGATTTAGGAGAAAGCTCTAATTGGTTTCTAAACAAAAACCCATAGTGTTTTAGATATAAATATTAGAGTGAAAGTTATAAAACGTTCAGCAAAGGATGTAAAATTAAGGAGGGAAAGAAAATAATTTTAATATTACAAGTTGCCAGTTGATTTCTTTACAATATTCCAAATCTTTGCATTCCCTGTGATTTTCATAGTGCAAAATTTGCTCACCTGTTTAATTGAAGTTTCTTTACTTTTTTATTTTGAATATGTGACACCATTCTTTGTATACTTTTGTAAAGGGCCTTTAAAGTCTTCTTTAAAATATTTTTTATTCATTCTCTGTAACATTTTTCCTTTCTTCATGATCAAATATAGTAATATTAGTGATGACAACCATTGTGCCCTCTAAAATCATAGGTTTTGGCTATCATTAATGTTATTGTTTCGTAATGCCTTCTGTATCTAGATTGTGAATGTGGATTTTCAATAATCAGTGAGTCTTCTTTACTCCATATTACTGTCCATTTTTGAAGTAAAGGGCAATTAGCCAGTTTTTCCTGTGTTTTAACTTTGTAACATAATTTCTCATTTTGGTATTCTGATAGTTGGGATCTATTTCTATAATAGATACCAATATATTAATATATTATTTCTTTCTACGACAATGAGCTAATTATTCTTCAGTTATTAGTTATAAAACATTTGTTATTTAATATGGTTTTGAATAACTATACTTTTTCTATATAACAAGTAGAAAAAATTACTTTACATTACTTTTATAATTACAACTATCTTGGTAAGCGAGCTATTATATATGGTCTATTGCAGTGGATTTTGAACCCGATGATGTGCTGACAGATCCTGGATTGCGCCGACAATTAGAACATAGTTGGGGTTTTGATGGAGAACTATCTGGTGATGATGATGGTCGTATACCTGAAACACATGTTCGCACTTTGCCTATGGATAATATGGTCGGCAGAGTGAGTATATCATTGTGGTAATCCATATTTCTGGCATATTTCAGAACCGTTTTAATGATGTTTTCTATATTTAGGGGTCTGGTGGTGAAAGCAATCCAAGTATTGTCTCGCTTCACTCGCGAATGAGTGGTGACTGGTTGGATTGTGCAGCTCGCAAGATTGGATTGCCACGGATGGTCTTGGCTGGTGTAGTTTTGTTTGCTGTGCTCATGGCATTGTGGCTGTGCCTTGCCCCTGACAGGCGTAGCAATAGTTCTAACATTGAATATATGCAGCCTCTAGATATGGATGAAACCAAAGATCTTTTGGAACCACCTCCTAAATATTCCTTGCATGTTGATCGTATTTGAGAAAATAAAATAATTTATTCATATACAACTTATTAGTCAACACAATTGAAAAGTTTTTGAGAATCAACACAACTGTCCTATTAGGTTAAGCCCATTTGGAACTTATAATTTGAAGTCAGTTAGTGAGAAGTGAGCAGTTTGACATCTGAGTGAAAGAAAGTATATATGAGTTTTGTTCACAATTCAACAGTTTCTTTCAGAATGTGAGTTTATTCATCAGAAGTTGTAGATAATATTATATTCGCAAAAGTAAACTATTGAATTAAATTTTAATATGCATATTTTTATTCAAAAATCAGTACTTGGTGCTTAATAGAACTTGATGTAATTCAAGCTATGAAAATGAACCTTTTACTGCCAATGTTAATGGATGTAATTGAAATAAACTATTGATTTCATTTTGTTACAAAATGTATATCAAGAATTTTGTAATGAAAAAAGATTTATGTTTTAAAAGTTAATATAAAAGGATTATTAGTAGAGGAGAGAGTGTATAGTTTTCATTGCATTAATATTGTTGAGAAGTTCCTTTAATTCACATATTAGTTGGTATAGTGTGCTAATTATTACTCAAGTTTGAGAATTTTTGGACTTTTGATAGTAGGACTTAACAATTTAATATTTCTTGTTTATATTTACAAAATAGAGAACCGATTGCTGCTACAGACTGTAACTAATGGTGTAAGTTACAAATCTTTCTTGAGAGGATTTTAAATGCTTAAATAGTGATTTATGTTGCCAATGAACCAGTTCAGAGCACCTGTTATCTATGTTATCACAATATAGCCCCCCCCCCAAAAAAATAAAGAAAAAATTACTAAAACATTTGACTGTCAACAGAAATAGTTCTATGTAGTTGTTTTGGATGTAGATTCTTTGATGTATTGAACAAGGCACTATTTTGAAAAGGTTCTCAACTGAAATAGTGAGAGAACTTCATTATATTCAATATTATTTTTTATATGTGTCGTTCTTGATCACATTAATTGTAACTTTGAAATTCATACAAATTGTATATCCCAGATCAATTGTAGAAATATTACAGTAGTGAAAATGTTTGTAATGATTACATTTGTTTGTTGATTCTGTGTAAGATGTGTTTTCAGAAGCAGAAATATGTCAAAATGTGAAGTTTAGAAGCTATGTAGTCCTAACAATTTCATTAAAATTTTTGTTTTCTGTCAAATTCAGGATTTTAATATTTTTTGATAAGCTTACAGATTTTTAACAGAACTGCAACACAAGAAACAATATCTTTATATGGAAAAATTAATGTTAGTAATCTTAATATTAGTTTTCATTAAGTTGACCTGTTGCAGTATCTTATTTATAATATTCTTAATTTTACATAATTTTGACTTTGTCTCGATGCTCATTAGAAATGTAAGCCCAGTGGTTCTGGAAAATACTCTTGGAAAAATGGATTGTATATTTAAGGTATATCACAAACTTTGTGATTTAGAAATGATCCTTACAATACAGTTTCAACTATTGGGGACCAGTGTATGTCGTTAAATGCTGAAGTACTGAATTAAATTGATGTGATTTGTCTGAAAGCGTCAGCATGTAATGGCGTATATGCTTGACATTTTTTCATACTGCTTCACATTTGAATGTGAATAGTGCAATACTTTGGTGTATCAGTTTTAGTGTTTCAATGCTAGTCATGGGTATTTTGTGAAGCTATAAGCATTAACCAATAATGTACTAGTCATGTTTTTTGTGCTTTGTTTCAAAAGATGTTAAACAGTATTGCAACTAATAGACTTATTGCAAATTGTTTCTTTGATTGTTTTAAATAAAGATTAAACCTCACACTGTGTGTTTTGTTGGATAATTTATTTCCCATGGCAGGTAACATTTTTCTCTAATAGGTTTGAAATTGATATGCAATGGAAAGAGTTTTAGATATATGTACAAGTAATTTCAGAAGAAAGTACCTGGTTAATTATAAAGTCTTAAAAAGACACAGCATCCCAATACCAGTCAGAAACTACTATGCAAATTTAAGTCCACCAATCAATAACAAAATTGGAATTTACAGAATATTCTATTGGTAAAAGATGTAAATTCTAGAGAAAAATAATAATTTTAATAAAAGATGCAAGTGCTATTTTCCATGCAGTAATCATGTCAAAGGGTATCAACAGCATCAGTTCCCTAGTGAGAAATACAGTATTACCCCATATTCGAATTACATTTAGGAGAGTCCTCAGGAGACAAGAAGTATCAAGGAATGAGGGCACAAACGGTTTTGTGGTACTAGCAAATATTTAATTAATATAAAAAATAAAACGCATTCAACTTTAAAAATGCAATTTTGAGCAATATGTTAAGTTTTGAGTGTTGATAAGAGGTATCAGTCTTGAATAATTAATTGCAGAATCAAAGCATGGAAGAGAAGTATTCGGAGAGAAATTGCAACAATTGCCATCACTATTTTCATTAAACACTAGGAATCATCCTGAATCCTTATCTTTCAGTTTCCTCTTGAAGCAAGGATTCTTTTGTTTTGTGTACAACATTTTTTTCAAGCCAAAGGAGGGAAAATGTATCTGACTAATCCAAAATACAAATTCACTTTGGTGCCATTTTCTTGGTTTTGATTAGGAGTAAACGCTGCCTAATATACCAATCGTGACTAATTAAAAAAAAAAAAAAAAAGATTAAACAATACTTCTCTTTCAAACAATATCCACATACTTTTTTCAAGTTTCATTCAGAATAATGCACATCTTTTTTGGGGAGGCATGGTCTCAAGTTTTTGAAAAATGTAAAAAAACATTAATTTTTTTAAAGAAGTTTTTGAAATTTTATTTTATAACTAGATATTAAGTTATTAATAGTAAGAACGGAAAAATGTGCGGGACTTCAACGCCACATAACTTCTCACATATAATGGCAATATGTAAACTAATATTGCAACTTGTACATTCCACTATCTCTTGAAAACTTGCCACCTAACAAAATGCGAGAGGTTTGAAAAAAAATACATATCTTTAATGTTTTGAAAATTAAAAAGTATTAATGAAAATGGCACAAGTTCAGGGGATTCTGATCTATTCTGAAAAAAAGGAAGAATAATGAAACAACTAGTGGTGCTAAAATAGCATGTACTTTTTCCCCTTTAGTAATGGTTATGTAATTCTATTTATACCACAAATTTCTTCAAATTAACAAATCTTGGTCATAATTTCTTGTAAAACGCATTTGAAATCAAAACATTTGTTGCAAAAATTAAAGTTTCAGACAATAGATTTTTTATTCAAAACTTTAAATGAAATATATTTCTGGCAATGAATTTCATTAAATATGGTACACAGTATATTCATGAACATATTGGATGAGTTGTTAAGCCTTACAATATATTTTGGAAGCAGTATGTGAGAAAGTAAAATAATTAAAAATTAATAAATAATACAATACTGATAATGTTGGCAAACAAATGCAAATGGATCGAAAAATTTATGATAGTAATTATTAAACACTGATATTATAATATTCTACAAATATAGAAAAATATTAGTTTATATTACCGTGAACGACAGTTTTCATTATTGCCTTCTATTATCAGTGCAAGTTACAACAATGGGTTACAAGTAACAATGACCATGCATTTATTTGTTTTCACATGTAACACAATTAAAGGACAATTTAAAATGAAATAACATAAATGTAATAATAAATAATAACAATGAAATTAAATAATATACAAATTCTAACTCGCATAACATCCAACTGCGTATTCCTTTCACATTCATGCAATGCTATAAATTGGGAGCAGATGACAAGTTTGTTCCCAATTACGCAAAAAATTGTATATGAGCTTATTTGAAGATCGGTTTTTGCTGAACACATTTCATTGGGGGAAAAAAATTGTATCTTCATAATTGTGGTTGTAGAAAGCCATCAATTTTTTTTAAATTTCGTCTTATTTTTGAAGTATCAGAGATTTTAACCAACATGAGACCTGTACCATTTTATTAAACATATTTCAGACTATTTAGAAACAAAATTTAATCAAAATTTAGGGAGCCAATTTTTTGAAAATGTCCCAGGACCTCCATGTAAAGTATCCTCCAAAATTAAGATACCAGCTTAAAATTCATGAGGTCATGACATCAGCCAGTTTGATTGAGAAATAATAATTTTGAAGAATATTAGTTGAATGGTTTGGCTGGTAGCCACAGCTGCGCAGCTTGGCACAGACGTTTTGTGGTCAATCACTTTTTTCAGTAACCAAGGACCTATTAAACATGGATTCTGGCTACACCATGTTTTAGAGGATCTTTTTCTTAATTTAGCATCTGGGTTTATCCATTTTTTTTCGTTAGTAGGGTACTGAAAGAAGGGCTTTTCTAACAAATATTCATTGTTTTTTCCTGCACCATTACATAACTTTTTCCCTATAGCAGTAGCAAGAAAGAAATAAAAATATAGTGTGTGTATATAAAATCCTGTCAGTTCTCTGACAATGATTCTCAGACATGTGTACTCCTGTGAATATCTTCACCATATATTTTTCCGCAGCAGTACATAATTTTCTCTATACTCTTAGTAAGTAAAATGTACTAAAGGTATTTTGTAATGTGTCTTTAGGTAGCATAAAGATTGTATTTTTTGCTATATACTGATACAAATCACCTCCTTACATCCCCCTTTTGGAGGGCAATTTCACCAGTTTAAAATGTTTGGCCTCACCCAGTAAAAAAAGGCACTTCTTCATCCCTTACAGCATTCAAAATCAGAGTGGGGACACCTCATGAAGTTTCCTTTTTTTAGGTTTCTGACATTTACAGCAATCAAATGTGTGGTGCTCATGCCACCATGCCCTGGATTTGTGAAATTGTTTGTGAATTTTGGCACCATCTAAAAGCAAATATAAATTTACTTATCAACTCCGAATGAGAAATTGAATTGAATACATTAACCTACAGCAACAAAAATTGCAAGATCTGGCATTATGACTGTTACAAAACCAAGAAACAAATGCTTGGAATCTGCTATAAGTAAAAAAGGTTGATTTCCACCACTGACACCTGTGAAATCAAAGCCAAGAATGACGAATGGGTCTCAAATATTTGTTGCTTACAAAAGAGGAAATATGACAAACTAGAGTAGGAACAGAATTAGATTAGAGGATAAGATAAACTCCATAAGGTCTGAATACTAGTTGACGTTACTCAAACACCTAATACTGGCCAATAACCACCTCTTTCATAGAGTTGTCTTTATTTTTCTCAAAGTATTCAAAAGTACTTTGAGCATGTACAAAATAAAGCAAGTCAAATATTAAAGGATTTGTATGGAAGCAGGAGACTGGATTACAAAAGGCATTTTCAAGTATTTACTCAAGACAATTGTCAATAACATTGATTACAGTGTTCTTTGAAGTGGTAACAAGGAATATTACAAAAATTAACAAATGTAATTTCGCAGTATTATTTTAAGAGGGGCTGAGCAACAATCATCACTGTGAAGTTAATTTCTTTTTCTTAAAAATGCTCCAAGAAACACTAATTTTGCATTCATCAATAAAATAATTGGAATTCATATTTGAAGGCCATCAATAAATAAGATAGCTTTTTATTAATGGGATTAACAAATTCCACTCTTTGGCAAGAATGCCTACACTTCCATCAAAATTAAATTTTACTTGAGACGATGAATGAACTTTCTTAATTGATTACTCATGACCGTAAATTAACTCTAAACGACATTTTAAAAACTATGTAAGAATAGATGTGCAGAGGCATGATCCATCATACATCAATTCTAATTGCCTTCCCTCCCATTTTTAGTAGAAGATTGAATTGGAATAGTAGCTTTAAGAAAAACAAAAAACAAACATGTGTATGATAATGCAAAATGAAATTTAATAATATACAATATCTACTAAAAGGTGCAATCTTCAGTTTACAAATGTTGGAAAATATCATACAAAGGAATTTAAAATTAATAAAAATGTGCAATCCAAAACATTCAAATGACAAGAAATGGAAATGATCAGAAAATAAAGCTTGGATTGCCTAATGTTCTGAATGTAAACCATAGCAATTAAAATTATTAAAAGCCTTAGATATTATTGTCCTTTCATGAACATGGAATAATAAATTATGCTCTAGAAATACTGATTACAATAAGAACACTACAATTTACAGTTTCTGCAGGTACATGAATTCCATTTCTGACTTATTTCTTTGCACAATAACACACTCCTTTTAGAACATCAATCCTCATTTTGATCTTTTCCAGAGTGATAAATGTACCCCGCAAAGTCTCTGTACGTACATCCTAACAAATTGAATGATTTTCACATCCAAAGTGGTCATAACCACTTCTCTCTTGTTATAACATCAACTGGCAAGAAACTGTACAAATAGGTGTAAAATTGTGCTTAGCATTCAATACTAAAACCAGTGTGAATATAAACTTGTTTCTCCCTATACACATATTTTACAAGAAAATAAACAAAACATGGCATCAAAATTGGAAAGTTGTGTACTATAGCAGCATACACAAGAAAGCCAACATGTCCTGAATCACAGAGGAGTAAAACATGACCTGATTGTCAGGTTAAAATATTGCACAACTAGGCCCATATTAATTGAGGGTCACTTTGGCGAATCTGAAGTCTTTTCACTTGGCCATATAATTTCAATGCTGGACCAAGCTTTAATTGCAGCCCCAGAAGGACATCACTTCTCTTCATAAGCAGTAAAGAAGCTCCATCAATTTCCTGTAGAAAAAAATTATAAGTTGAAGGGAAGGAAAATTTGTTTTAAAACTCTAAAACCTGGGAAATGTTGAAAATGTAAGATGGAATTTAGAATATATTTATAAAATGTATCATAATCCAACAGTGGATACAAATCCACACCAAAAATTCAGTTAATGAAAATTATAAAGTAACACTTACATTGAGTTTGAATATAGCAGCCTCCTCAGGGTAGCCTTGATTTGCTAGATACCTAGAAACTTCATCCACCGTCCATTCTGAAGCATCCGGTATACATTCATCAATTTGATCATCACTATCACATGAAGTTACAGATGCTGATGCTGGATAGCTAATAGGGATAGCATCTGGAGCAGGACTATCACTGGTACCATTCACTGTTAATACAATTGCATGTAATTTCATGTCCATTAAAATATATTCACAAATACTCATACAAAGCCCAACACAAGGAGAGAAATATTTTCAAGTTTCCAGCAAAAATTAAAAATAAATTGAACAACTTATGAATAAATTTATATTCCTAGACCGTACCATTCTTAGGCTTGCTTGGTAAACATCGAAAACAGTACCACTTTGAACCATTGGCCCTCTCTAGAATTTCAGGATAATGACAAGTGGGATGCCATCCATCTCCACAACCCCAACATGTCACAAGCTGTTCCTGAAGAGTAAATTTATTAAAATGTATTTTGTAATATTATTACCGTAACTGTTATTACCAAAATACTTACAAATTCACCAGACTGCATACAATGTGGGCAAATTTTGCACTGCATGCACTGCCAAAATGGCATAAGCTTATCACCAACATCAAGGCAACTGGGGTGAGCTATAAAATTTGCAAAGAATACTATTAATAAACTCCAAAATTAAAGTAAAAATTATCAAGTTGCAAAACAATGTTTTGGATGACTATTGCCTTTTTTACCATTACATGCATATCAAATAAATCAAATTTATTTATGCAATAGGTTATAAATACAAATTACAATATTGTCCGTAAGTTCATGTGATTTCCTAAACAGATACAATAAATTTCATATAATCCGAAACAATAACACCTACCTTTGTTAGTGCAGTTTGCGCATGTAAGAAACTTTTCGTATAGACCGCGACGGCCGTTCACTTGATGATGACATATTGAGCACACTGGACCCAGAGGTTCCACTTTCGCGGCAACTGAAGCAACATCTTTGCTCTTATTTGTACTTCCCAGTGGTCGACCACGTTTGCGGGTGGGAATATTATTATCTGAAGGATCAAACACTTTCTTCGCCCGCTGTAAACAAAAAAGGCATCTAAATTGGAAAATAAACGAATGCTGATCTCGCGCTGTAACTTGTGTACTTCCGGTACAGGCAACAGTGAATTCTAATTCATTACTCTAAAGAAGCGAGATCGATTATCCTACACGAATTTTTCACACTTACCTTCCGTCGCACACCAACACGAAATCCACTAACATTAACAGCAGTATGAGGTTCAGTGCGAGAAGGATTAGTTTCGCGCCTTTCCGCATCATCTTGGATTCCAATGCTTTTTTCATTGTTGACATCTGTTGCTTTGGGAGAGGATATTTTAATAGAGGTGTCAATTTCTTCACTGCCTCCGATATTGTTTGGTTCGTCATCGAAATGAGATGACGACGACGATTCAAACTTTAACATGTGTACATCAGAAGAATTTTCTATATTCCCGTTGGTTGTGCAACTAGGTACGGGATGATCCGCTAATGAATAGTTGTTGTTTTTGAGCCTGACAAGATATCCCGAATTTATTTCTCGAAGCAGTATGCTGTCGACATCACCCCACTCTAAACAAGGATCTTCTTCTAAGATAGATTTCTTCAGTTCATTTTCAGGAACGCCGAAATCAAGATAATCCGGATCCTCCACTAACAATGAAGCAAATGCTCTGCTAAGCAAACTACGAACCTCTATAATATTATTATTTTCCATTACATTGCCTTTGTGTTTGTACACAGCAAGCCTTGACCATTTTGCTGCATTTCTGTAGCTTATATTTCCCTTGTACTCTACGCGTATAACAATTTCGGCTTGCACCATACGCTCTAGGTCCGCAATCGTGTCTTTGCTACTGACGGAGAAGCGCCGCAGCAAGAAGTTACATATTCTATCCGCGTCTGGACGCGCTTTTCGCCTTCGCAGTTGATCTATTGCTTCTAATATACGATCTTTGTTCTTGATTTCACTCATTGTCAAATTCACAACACACAAACTGTAACAATGCTGTTCTTGCTCGCCACTGCGTACACGAAAACGCGCCGCCGGGCCCACTCCCGCACTGCCTCGCTGCTCACACGTAATGCCCGTGAGGCCCGCCCGTGGCCCGCCCGGCCCGTTTGTGCTGGGGAACGAACCAACCAAGTGTTTACCGCCACCACCACGCATGCGCAGTGAAGGAAGTCGATAGCTTGTTTCTGGCTCAAAACGTATCGGGAGCGAAACTTACAAATTGCTGTATCAAACTAGTAACCACAAACGTATTGTTACAAACATTCCTGCATACCAATCTTAGATGAGAAATCTGACAGTTCACGGATATTTAAAAAGCATTTAGCCGAGCAAAGGACGAGAGATGGTCCAAATGGGCGCGGCACAAGGATTCGTAATAAAAGCACAGCGCAAGTCGCAATGCAAATTGCCTGCAGATCGCGTCTGGTTCTTTCTACCAAGACTAGCACGATAGTACCAAGGAAAGAATAGTTAACCGCGATTACTTTTTAAATGATTGCACTATCTTAGTGTTTATAAAGATGAAAGTGGAAGGGGCAGTGTTAGTCTTATATATAAAATTATTTCCAATGTTGTGCAAAAAATCCTGAGGCCTTCTTAAGGGTTATCAATATTGTTGAAAACAACTGCTGCTAAGCAAGTGTTAAAATCTCATTCAGCAATCAAGTATTTCAAAACTATACCCATTTTTTATAATAAAAAAATAACATTCATAATTATTTTGTTTATTATTTAATTTCCCCCTCTTAATTTTTCCTTTTACTTACATGATACATTCATTTCAATGTATAAATAGAAATGCTTCACACATTCATTCAATGCTTTCACCATTGTGTAGCTTTGTGACACGTGGCTGTTGGGAGGATTTTTGGAACAATGTAAAGAAAAACAAAACATTTAATTCAGTAAAGCTAAACTGGTTACACAGGTGGCATTGATATTTTACAATATTTTTTTTCTATATTCAGACAAATTAATTGCTACATGCCTAAAAACAAGCTAATAATATAGGATATAAAACCAGCATTACATTTAAAATAATGTTATACACAAATGTTCATATACATATACACATACTATAAAAAAGAATTCATTCAAATCTGCTTCAAAATATACAGAGATAATGAAAAGATAAATAAAATTAAAATAAATCTCACAATTGGTAACAAATAACAAAATGTATATGCTATATTAATTTACTTTCAATTTTTTTTTTTTTCCGCAGCCTAACTCCAAGAAAGTATATTTATATTTCATATTCATTTATTAAGCTCCTGCCACTAAAATGCAGGATGACCAGCAAAATATTTATGTTGATTTGTGCTCCAAGTACAAATTACTGATCCCTCCAATCCCAACAGCACAAATTCTCTTGTATGTTTTGCCAAGATTGGTAGGACTCCTCTTATGTCTGAAACTTACGAAAAGCATTTCATCTACTCCCATTCCTAAAACTCTCATACACCTTTTCAACAAACAGTATCTCACTAAATGTTGCCAGTCATTTGATTTTCATTTAAATATTCCTCAAACTAAAATATTTAATTTTTCTGAATATCAAACATAACATTACTGTTTGGATTATTTATCTAAAAAGTTTCAAAATCAATTTCTAGCAAAACTGGACCTGCACTAAAGGTCATGGTTTATATATTTTGACTTCATTTCAAAATAAAATATATACATGTTCTCCAAACATAATGGCTTTCTGAAATAACAGAGCCACAAATTTATGATTCTGGGAGAGAGAGAGAGTAGTACTATATATTTTATATATATATATATATACAAAAACTATTAACTGATACTTATCTTATAATCACCCATAATGAGTACATAAATTTAGCACAATAATCAGAAGCATATCCATAGGTGGATACTTACTACACAACCATTACAAATAGATTGCAACCACATATGTCTCCATTACGCAAGATCAGTGGACACCACCTTTACAGTATAAATCACTGCACAATTCAAAATATACAGCAATGTAATACTCATTGATCCTCTCACTATCAGAGGCACAGTATATTTAATCTGGAAATTTGTGTGAACCATTTCCCCCCCCCCATCTTCAATGTGCTAAGGTATGCATTAACTTTCATTCTTCACTAGTAGGAAATGTATCAACAAGAGCGAGTTTATGTCTCACTGCAATTGTCTTTTGTTTCTGTTAATTTTTTTTTGAATACTGAACCATGTTCAAAAACCTAAGAAGACCATGATGCAGTATCATATGTTAACAGATGAGAAGACATAATGCAATTTTTTACAACTGGTGAGGGACAAGAGCAAGATCAAAGATATATTCATAAAACAAATTAAATTTTACAATTGTTAAAAATTGTACTTTTGACGCATGAGATATTTGAATACTTTATTTCCACTTGTAAATGAAACAGTAAATGGGGACATCCTCTAAAAATTATAACTAAAGATAAAGGGCTATTCAAATTTAATTTCTATATTAATTAAGTCATTTTAGAAGTTATTGTAAGTATCAGGTTACTTATGAGCAATAGTCATGCCAGGAAACAATTTGGTGTGCCTAATGTGACAAATTACTCTATAAATTCTATGTGTATCCCAGAAACAAAACACCTGCAGCTCTGAATGAAATTACTGCATCTAATTCCTTCACTATCATTTTTAATGGGCTATGGGTATGGAGAGATTTCATCTAATTTCTCAATTTGGACAGATGGGCACATAGCGTGAAATTTCCAGGGACTAGGCTTTGTTCTTTGTTCTTTTCAGTCATAAATGAAAATGTACATTGCCAAACAAATGAAAAACATGCAACTAACGAACAACACCAGACTTGGAATGGGCAATAAGCCATTGTAAAGTGATGTCAATATTATCTTTCTCCTTGCAAGAAATTGAGAAACAGCAGATTTCCCGATCCTTGATGACAGAAAGATTCCTGTAAAAATAAAAGAAAATAATGTAAACCAGAAACATTCAATACCATCTCATGATCAGAATATAATTTTTTTCCTAAAACAATATTTTGAAATTGCTTATATCTACATTTTATTTGAAGTATTAATAACAAAAGATTTTACTTCTCTAAAACCCAAAAGATTTTTTAACAAAAAACAACAACAGTTGTAAGGCTGCCGAGCATTCCACAAAAGTATACTTACTGACTACATTACTTAATTTAAAACTATTTAAGCCCAATTGGGCTTAAAAAAAAAAAGTTTATAACAATACATAAAAAGGAAATAAAAGGAATTTTTATAGCTTTATAGCAATTTTTTATTTTTATACCAAATTTTATATTTTTATAGCAAAATAGCTTTCAGCAATTTTTATAGCTATCAAGTCACTTTTTTAACCATTAGCAATTGATAAAATTCCCTTTATTTTTAATTTCTCCATGGACCATAGATAATCTCAAGATAAAGGACTGCAAGCCAGATGGAAGGGTGGGAATTCTATAATTTTAAACTACTTTCACCAAATAATTGTAATCAATTAGAAATTATATGATGACCACTGATGCTTAATAAGTTGTCCAAATCTGCTAAACGATACTTTGCACAACAAAAAGACATCCATTCACCATATTTATTTTTCTTAAATTTCTGCTCAAATTATGGCCTCATCTTGGTTTGGTTTAGAATTTTTTGAATAAACACAAGTTAACATGTTTTCGTTGATGAATGACTCTCCCAATAACCTTTATGCACAAAATAAAGCTCTATGATTCAAATAAAATTAATTTCTTAACACAAGTTAAGAGCTTAGAAGTACTCCAAATTCCAAAAGTATGTTTATTTTTTGGTACTTTTTCTCTATCTTTAAATACTTACAGTCTTTCAATCAATCCAGTTTCATCAAGGGCATGAGGAAGATCACGTTTATTACCAAGGACAAGTACTGGAATTCCTTGCAATTGAGGCCTGTCTAGAAGTGTATGTAGCTCATTACGTGAAGCATCTATTTTATCAGGGTCTGCTGCATCAACCATGTACCTAATAAAAAGTGAGGATGTTTAAAAAATGTTTCAAGGACTTTAAAACAATGCAAAATAATATCAGAGTTAAACAATAATTAATAAAATATATGTATAATGGTAAAAGAATCAAAATACAAAAAGTAAGTCAGAAACAAATTTCTTAACTTAACGACTTCACGACTTAATATTGATTACAAATTTCTACCAGTCTTCAACACAAAAATTATTTAGTGAGAACCTTTTATTTTTAGCATAAAAATATAAAATTCATAGTATGTAATGAAATAAAAATTTTTATTCATTACCGTAGAAAATGCTTTTAATAATAACTTTCATTGACACAGTATGCTACTCATCCCCTCATTTTTATTTCACATAAACTGCATATCCAAACCATAAGTCACTTAATTATTAACAATAGCTTTTTTTAAACAAAAATGATGATATAATCAGATATTGTCCACTGCCATATAAATCACAATTACAGTAACATATTTTAGATACTCACACAATAGCATTTACTCCTCGGCAATACCGTTCCCACATAGATCTAAATCTGGGTTGTCCTCCAATATCCCACACTTTGATTGTAACATTTCCTTTTGTTATTTTCCTCATATTGAAACCTACAGTGGGTATCATATCTTCACTAAATTGTCCAGACTAAAATAAAAAAAATGCATACATTAAAATTGTACAGCACAATTCAATATCACGTTTCTTATCAACAGATGCTATGCACTACCAAAGTAACCACAAACTTGAAAAAACTTGACAGCGCAACGTTAACTTATGTTATCAGAACTAAATAAGAAATGATCGCCGAATTGCACTATGCATACACTGACAAAATATTAATAACACACTAACCCCCCACAAAATGTCAAAATCTATGAGCTTATTCTAGTTTAGAAATCATAATTCAACACTTAAGAATTCTCACCGCTATGACATTCACAAATGTAGTCTTCCCGGAGTACTGTAGACCTACAAGTGTCAATTCCATTTCTTCTTTCCAAAATAAACTTTTAAACCAATCTAAAATGCGATTTATTAAAGCCAACATTATGTCTAGCTTTTCACTTCGATTATGAACAACAAGTATATAGCTCTGAAACAAAGCTCCAACAAATTGCAATCAAACGTAGCTCCAACCCACTTTCACACCCGTACCCCTCAAAAATCCTATGACCAAACGAACATACTGTATACGTCAAATGGTAAATGTAAGGGAATATACAGACTCTGAAATCTCACATTAGAGCGCTCCAAACAATTAGAAAATTTCTATTACATTTTTAAAACTGCAAACTGAAACATATTAATAGATACTACTCGTGTAATATTCTTAATAAGTGCGGAAGACCGATACCATTGAACTATTATCCATCCACCTCACGAAGATTCTGTAGCGACACTAGCGAATGATGAGGTTTTAGCGGCTTAATTCAAAAGACGTCACAGATAATTTTCTTTTTGTTTTTAACATTAAATTAATCGTATGTGTCAATAAATTACTCATAAACAATATTCGAATGCAGACAAGGATGAGACATGAAGATATCAATGCGGAAGAGATTGAGTGAAGAATGAAATGTTCCCCACAAAAATATTTTAACAATGTTTTGGAATCGTAATTTAACGATGTAAGTTAAACTATATTTCTTATGAATCTTCGTACTAAGCATTTTCGACCGTAGTCAATATTATAGGCGTAAAGTGTGCAGGGAGGCATCCCTCTCCCCTGCGTTTCAACTTCGTCGTATCCTAGATATTATTATTATATATTATTATATATTATTTCAGTAGTATACATAGCTTTTGCAGCGCTCACACGCAACTGATCTTAATAAATGAGGTCTCTAAAAAAAGAGAATTTCACGGAGACGTGACGAATTGCATATTGACTTTACATATGAGAAATATTTGCTTAAAAAGCGCATCCAAAAATTCAAGTCAAATGCAACCCGAAGAACTCAATCAGTTATAGTGGTACAAAACTCATAAATAATGAGTTCTAGGGCCTTAAAACTAATAGTTTGAAGCCATCGGCATCAAGGAAACGTTTCTCACAGTGTAATCTACAGAATGAGACATTTTTAGACAGTCTATTAATTTTTTTTTGGCTCGGAACTTATCGATACAACCTACATTTTAACACTTGGTGAAGGTGGCCATCTTTGTGGCGTCACACTTAGAAGGATTAGATTCCTCTACTACGTATCTTATATTATTTACGCTTTCGTGTACATCGTGGTTTGCGCAAACTAATGAGCTTTATTTGCATAATTATTAATTCAAGATTCGCTCTCGCAGCAACTTCTAGAAGAACTATTAATAGTTGCTTAATACTGATGATTGTTTCTTAAGTGTGTAGTGAAAACATTCATTTAACTTTTTGCCGAAGTTTACAAGTGTGTGTATACCTAATTGTGGAGGGAGTGTGAAGAATGAAGACGAGTATTGTTACGTTTGGTTTGTGTTTTATCTGTACCAGTATTTTCGTTATCAGCAGTGATTTCGTGAAACTTTCAAGAAAGCGTGTTTAGTCACATAGCTTTCTGAAGAGCTAAAAGCTTTTTATTTTATTTTTATTTTTTTCAATATTTTTGTGACTTACGAAAAGCGAAAAGCTAACTGTGAAAAAATATTGAATAATTTACTTCGTATTCTTTTAAAGTGTCGTAAAGCGTTTCAAGAAATTTCTCGATAATACTAAATAAATCATTTGCTTTGTTTTTTAATTTTTATTTGATATTGTGTTGGTACATTGAAAGTTACTTTTAGACATTAAAAAATACATTTCGTTAACAACTTTCCCTCTTAGAATGAAAATAGAAGGATAGGGAAGAGTTCTCGAGAGTTCTCGCACGGATATACGGAGGTAGTAGAGAAAAACTTGTGCTATGGCACAACACAAAAAACAAACTTTTTAAATCAAAGTAAAATAGATTAAAATAAATGAACAACAAAAATCAAAACGCGCTAGCCTACAATACTCCGTGAATTAATTTAAAAAAAAAAAACCAATTTAAAATTGTAGAAAGAATAGCGCAAGTCACTTGACAACAACCAACGATCACAATCCAGACGCACGATTTAAATGATGACCTATCTGGAAGTCCCATTTTAAACGCACAGCTGTAAATTCATATTGTAAATAATACCGTGTTTGATATTAAAGTTAAGATGTCGATTCGCGTAAGATATTCAATACGTAAATATCGTTTGAGCAACATTCCCATGTGCCGAAGTGAAGTCTTAGCTTTATTATTGTTTTGGCTTGGAATTGCTTTTCTTGAGTTACTAATAAGAACGCAGAAAATAACCCAATACTTTTTAGTATACAAATAATTTTTCAAGTTTAGGACCCGAGCAAGCTGGCACCTGCCCCTCCAAAACCTCCTCTGTTCATCATATCAAATCTAGGAAAGTTAAATAATATTGCAAAGAATAGGGTTGTATTTGCCCGATCCTGTATTTTCACACGGAAAACTGTACTTGGCTTTCTCAAGAGTAAAAACCTTTTCTAATATTTTTGTCACTGTCAAGGAAGATTGAAAATTGCTTCAAATGTTTTTAAGAAAGTGAAAATTGTTCCAAGAACATATCTATATAATACTGAATAATCCTTTATTGAAAATTTATTTCCAACATCAATTGCATTGTTTTTATTTTTATTTAAAACTTTGTAAGTATGAAGTTACATTTTTTTAATCAAATAAACACGTTTAATTACACCTTTTCTTCTTATTGGAAATTATAGAGAATGATTAGGGATAAACATGCGAGAATTCTCGCACGGGTACGCGAGTCATTTTTGCGCACAAATTTGTAGACATGGCAGTTCAATATTACTCACTTCTAGCTTGTCCTTCCTTGTGTACATTCGAATAAATGCGTGAATTTGTCGCAAATACTACTAAGATTATTATAATACGTTGTTTATCATTTCCTTTTTTAGGTAAATAACAGTTATGTGTCTAAAATGTGTTTGCCTGCTAATCAAAAAGCACAATTACACAGCATCAAACGAAGCGCGGGACACTCGAATTTACCATTTCGATATTTGACTCTCGAAAATACGGGGCACAATTAGTGTCGGGACTTAATTAGTGAATAAACCGATTTTCAGGAAAATAAACCACGAAATGCACACTAATATCATTTGGAAAATGCGATTTTCATAATCGTTTCTGTCTGTTTAGAATAATTATTAGCTCAATGAATATTACTGTGAATTGTATTTTTAACTATTTTGTGTTTAAAAAATGGGTACCAGTAGGTGAAACCTGCTTTAATAGCAAATGCTGCTAATGGTTATGAGTAATACAAGTCTGCCACCACACTGGGAGAGGGGTCTCAGGGCAATTGGGAGGTCGTAGGTTCAAGTCCTGACGGTAGCAAGATTTTCGACAGTAGTTTGTCGGCTAGGTCGAATTCAGGCGTCGTCTAGAGGTGAATTCTAGCGTCCGGCTGCTCTGATCGGTATTTTCCATGTTTTCTCTGATCAACACCAGACCAATGCCGGAGCAGTAACCCAACGAAAGGGCCATTGGCTGCGCGCGATCTTCCCTTCTTCTTCTTAGTCCTATTCTCACCTCTTTCTTACGGACACACTAATATGCACTGCACTACGCCACATGCCGGGAGACCGGTCGACAGCTTAGAGCTCGTCGCGGCTGGGGAGGTGCCTCGTTGGTTGGAGATACCTGGTTGGGGAAAACCCCGCTAGCCGACGGTAGGTCGACGCCGGGACTCGGCATCAGGTGAGGGAATTCCACCGCCATCTCCCGAGGAAAGAACTTGCGCTGCACTACAATAATGGCCTTAGCCGTTGACGCCCCGGAATCACTAACACTCAATCGATAAATCAATCGGCCACCTAATACAATTTTCTACGGACAAGAGACACCATTCTCTTAAGCGGCGAGGTCGCAATTTACTCGAAATTGTTGTTGCCTGTTTTGAGAAAAATATATTTAAACAAAATTAAAAAATGCCAGTTTTACGGAAAATTATGCGAGAAATACTCAATTTTTCGAAAATTGTACATGACCTTATTTCAATATCTATCTTTAAGAAGCAATTTAATTAAGGAAAAAATCTATCTGCATAATTGTAGTTGTAGAAAGACGCCGAAAGAATTTGAACTTTTCTAATTTGCAAAAAAAAAATTGGGTTTTTACCGAACATGAGATCTGCACCATTCTCTTAAACGTCCTTCACACTAAAAATAACAAAGTTTGATCAAACACGTTGGAGCCATTTTTTGAAAATGTCCTGGGAGTTTTATGTAAAGTACTCCCCGCCCCCCAAAAAATTAAAATATCGGTTTCAACTTCAAGATTGATAGGGGAAACAAAATCAGCGGATTATTTTTTTCAATTTTGGAAACCAAATCAGCTGAACGATTTAGTCATTGCTATTGTTCACAGACGAATTGACGGACATATGTTTTGCGGCCAATCGACTTTTTGGTATCAAGGGCCCCAAAAAGTCATGGATTCTGGCTACGCCACATATTAGAGGATTTTTTTCTAAATTAGGAACTGGAGTTACCCAATTTTCTATTACCAGGGTCCGGCAATAAGAATTATTCTGTCGACCCCCCCCCCGTTTTTTGTGCACCATTACAAACTTTCTCTCTACTGGTAAGTGGTACCGAGAAAGTAAAATCAATATGGCTTGTTGATGCTGCGAAATATTGCTTAGATGATTGGGCGAACATTTGCAAAAACTGCAACAAGAAATTATGCACATCGCCTTCCTGTGTTCTCGTCACACGAGAAGATTCTGAAAAGACGATACACAAGATTAATGCCTTGCCGTAAGAATTATTAAATATTAAAGAAATTGTCATGGTTACCTTTGTTTGGGCGAAAATAAACGTTCTCCTTACGAATGCAATTCGTTATTAATGCTTTCTGCGGTTTTTGCCGCGTCTCAGAGTGCGGGTCAGGGAGACTGTATTTTAATGCTTGCCGCCAACGTACCACCAACTTTCAATGCGCCCAATACGCGTATTACTTAGCTTCTCTCCACGATTGCTGCAAAACTGTTCCCAATCCGCCCAATACGCGGCTCCCGATTCTCAAACAATGAGATCTCGTCGCGTCTTAAGTGGGAAAAGTTGGATTCCAGGAAATTAATACAATGTGCAAAGCTTCGTGGCCGGCAGACCAGGAGGGGGTGCGATCTAACGGTCATTTTTGAAAGCAGTTTAAGGTTAATTCCAAGTTGGAAATGTATCATATTTTCTTCTAATACCTCAAAGAATTGTCAAAGCGAATGAGCTCCAAGTGTGGCGCCAAATTTGAATTAATTTGGCTGTGTCTGCCAACATGGCTGGTTTTAAAAGGTAAAGTATCGCAAGGTTTCGTGTTCTATAACTAATTCATTTAATTATTAGTATTCATTTCTAAATTGAATTATTTACCCCTGTCAAATTTT